GGTGACCCTCCCTCCTTGAAATCCTCCCTTCTCTTTCCACAACACACTCCCCTTGTTTATTGGCTATTTATATTTATTGGCTGCTTCATCTAGGTCTCCTTTGCTAACTCCTTTTCCCCACCCAGACCTCTCAAGGTGGGAGGACTTTTTTTTTTCCTCCTATCTTTTCCAATCCCATGGCTTGATTATCAACTGCATGCTGATTCCCAATATTATATCTCTAGCCAGCTGTTCTCCCCTGAACTCCAGACTCTGTCTCCATTTGTCCTCCTGCTATCACCACACAGATGCCTAGCTGGCATGTCAAACTCATTTTCTCCAGAACAGCTTTTAATCTCCTCCTCCAGCACCATATAAACCTGTTTTTCTCCTGTCTTCATCTCAGTAAATGCACCACCTTTTTTCACTCAAGTTAAAAACCCACATCATATCCATGGTTCCTTCTTTACTTACCACGTCTAATCCACCATTGAAATTTGTTGTTTCTGCCTCTAAAATGTATCGGGGTCCTTTTTGTTGTTGTTTTTAAAGATTTTATTTATTTATTCACGAGAAACAGAGAGAGAGGCAGAGACAAAGACAGAGGGAGAGGTAGGCTCCATGCAGGGAACCCGATGTGGGATTTGATCCCTGGTCTCCAGGATCATGCCCTGGGCTGAAGGCAGGCACTAAACCCACTGAGCCACCCAGGCTGCCCTCTAAAATGTATTTTGGATCTATTCCCTCCATCCCCACTCCACACCCTAGAGCTAGCAGCCTGTCTTCTCTCTCTGGATTCCAGCAGTAAGTCTCGTAATGTCATTGGCTTCCTAGCTTCCACTCTAATCCCCCATAATTCAATCCTTTCTCCAAATAGCAGCAGATGGGATCTCTTCAAACATATAAATACACATTTTGGTACTTTTAAGCCCTGGATGCCTCTCTAGGCAATTCCTCTTGGAATAAAATCTGTGGTCCTTATCACAGCCTGAGACCTCCTTTCCTTCCACTGTGAATTTAAGTCTACCATTTTCTTTCTTACTCACCGTATCTGTCACACTAGCCTCCTTGGTGCTCCTTGAACACTCATAAGCCCATTTCTATGCCCAGGTCTTTGCACTAGTATTTTCCTCTGCATGAAATACCTTCCCTCAGGACGCCTGGTTGGCTCAGTCTGGAGAGCATGCGTCTCTTGATCGTCTCTTGATCTAGGGGTGGTGAGTTTGAGCCTGAAGTTGGGGGTAGAGTTTACTTTAAAATAGGTAAATAAAAATAGCTGTTTTAAAGGGGGAAAAAAAATGCCTTCCACCTCACTCTTTTTGTGGCTCTGTCTCATCTTTCAGGTCTCAGCTGAAATATCCATGTATTTACATATATTGTGAAATGATTACCACCGTAGGTTTAATTAAAATCCACCATCTCATATAGACCCAATAAAAACAAAAGAAAACAAATTTCTCCCTGTGATGAGAACTCTTAGGATCTACTCTTAATATCTTCTCTATATACCATAACAGCGGTACTAACTATAGTTATCATTGTTGTACATTATATGCTAGTACTTATTTACCATATAGCTGGAAGTTTGTACCTTTTAACTACTTTCCCCAACCTCCCTTCTCCCATCCCACCCTTACTGTCTCTTGAATCTATATCTGCCCCTACCATCCTCATAACCACTGGCCTGGTTCAGGCTCCATCACCTCCAACCTAGATTTTCTGTAACAACTTCCCACCCAGGGGGCTGCCCCGTCTCTAGTGCACTTGTCACCATTCTTCACACAGCAGTCATGAAAATGAGGGTTTTTTATTTTATTTTATTTATTCATGAGAGACAGAGAGAGAGAGAGAGAGAGAGAGAGAGAGAGAGAGGCAGAGACACAGGCAGAGGGAGAAGCAGGCTCCATGCACCGGGAGCCCGACGTGGGATTCGATCCCGGGTCTCCAGGATCGCGCCCTGGGCCAAAGGCAGGCGCTGAACCTCTGTGCCACCCAGGGATCCCTGAAAATGAGGTTTTAAAATAAATATTGTGTCCACCCTGCTTTGATGCTTCAATAGCCCCCTGCTACTTGCAGGAAGAATTTTACATACCTAAGGTCAGCATTCAAGGTCCATAGTGCTCTAGCTTCTGCGGGCTCCTCCGTAGTACCTTTCTGAGCCTCTCCTGCCTCCCCCCACCCACCCCCGCTACACACGACTGCACCAATCTGCCTACAGTTCCCCTAGCAAGTCACGCTGTTCTATCAGTTCTGCTTTTGTGAGATGTCCATCCTAATGGAATACAACCCAGTCACTCCAGCCCTTCTTGTGAGGAGCTCTCACCACACGCTGTACACTCATCAGAGCCCTTCTGAAGACTTGTCCGCCTTCCTACTGGCTCTGCAGCCCTCCAAGGCAGGGCCTGGATCCTATGTGCCTGCTCATACAATGCTGCCAAAATATTTAGTAGAGAGCACAGCCTCTGGAGTCAGGTGAGGTTTGATTCCTTGCACTACCTCTCACCAATCAAGGGACCTGAAACAGTTCTAAGCCTCGGATTCAAGATCTGTTCAATGAAGATAACAATAGTGTCTATCTCATGCGTCATTTATCCACTTTTGTGAAGTATTTTATTTTATTTTATTTTATTTATTCATGAGAGACACAGATTGAGAGGAGAGGCAGAGACATAGGCAGAGGGAGAAGCAGGCTCCTCGCAGGGAGCCGGATGCAGGATTCGATCCTGGATCCGGGGACCACGACCTGAGCCAAAGGCAGGCGCCCAACCGCTGAGCCACCTAGGTGTCCCACTTTTGTGAAGTTTAAATGAGATACATGTGAGGAGTTTAGTACAGTGAACAGATGACAGAGGCTCCCTAAATTCTTTTGAGTGAATAGATAAATGCCAGGATAAAGTATTGGAAGGCACCCAACTTCAAAGGCCCTCAATAAGTTTTGTTGATTAAGTGATGTACATGCAAAACAGACTCCATCACCTCCACAAACAAATGTTCAATGCCTTCCCATTGCTCCAAGGTTAAAATATAGTCCTCTCAACAAAGCCCTCAAGGCCCTGTCTACACTGAACTCTACTTCTCCAGCCTGGCTGCCCTACACTCACACTACTGTTTCATGCCTCTTTGCCATGGCTCATACTCTCCCCTCTGCCTACAATGCCTGTCTTGCCCCTTTGTCCTGGTTTTGGTGCTTTTCCTATGTACATTTATTTTCACATTTAATATATGGTTTTCTCATCTGTTTACATGCCTTCTTCTGATAGAGGACAGGGACTCTGGGCCTTGCCATTATCTTTCAGCCATTAGTGTAAAGCCTGACAAACAATTAAGGTGAATAAAATATTTGTGTTGGATGAACGCATGTGGTGTGGAGGCAACAACTAGAGGGCTGGCATGGGCTGGATGGGGAAACTGATGCCAAAGTGGCTATCAGTGGCTTATTCTCAAAAGTGGTGGAACTTGCTGGATATGAAAACTGCCTTACCCCACCCCATGAGCTGCTTCTGTGCCACAACATGAATTCCTCAGGGTCTTTGGTCTCCTGTAGATGGAATCTGACTTTCCAGATAAAGGATCTTCTGAGTCCTCAGGCATGAGGTGCCCAGCTCTGGACAGGAGTAACCACCAGGGATAAACCACATTGAAGGAATAAAACCTTGTGGTAGCTGCAAGAGGTTGCCACATACATTGACTTTCTCAGATCCCTAGGCTGCATTTTCCTCATCCTTTAAGATGAAGGAACCCAGGCCCAGGCATAAAGAAAAAGTATGCTCCTATCTTCCTCCCCCTTGGGCCAAGGCTACCCTTTTCTATGTAGGGCTGTAAGTGGCTTGGGGACCTGAGGGCTAGTAGAAGGCAATGAAAGGGGAACTTGGTCAACTGTGCAGCTGCTGCTATAGCAGCCAGAGCCAAAGGAGGTCACCATTGATCCCACTTACACTTCTTTCTGCTGAAGCAAGCTTGGGTAGAGTTGGCTAGGCGCGCAGAGGGAAGGGTTGGGGTGGGCAGGAATGGTGCTGGAAGCTGGGATGTAGCCACTTCCTCTCTCTGGGCCTCTGTTTCTCCAAGTGTAAAATGAAGGCCCACGGTGTAACACTCACCCCCAGCAAGGCTGTTGAGGCTGGAGGATCACCGCTGGATGGGGGTGGGAGGTGGAGGGTGACCCTCCGATATAGGAACCAGGGAGAACAGCTCTGAGCAATGTCCAACGAGGGCAAGACAACACTGCATTTTGGGACCCCTTGAGAAGCAGCGGTAGACCGCCCCGTCCCCCCCCCCCCCAAGGGACCTCGGAAGTCCAGACTCCCAGCCCCAAGTCTTCCCGTTACCCAACTCTCGGGACCGGACGCGAGGTCCTTCGAGGAGGTTCCTGGAAGAGGAGGACCAGGTCGTCGCCACTGCCCAGGCGTCGGGGAAGAAAGAGGAGGAGCCTCTGGGTGCCCCCATCCTGGCCGCCCAGGACCGCGCGGGCTAGTCGGGCAACCTCAGCCCTCCAGGGTCTGCAAACCTCAAAGGCGCAAGCCGCGGGCGCCTCGGGCGCTCGCCCGTCCTGCCGCACCCGGGCCCGCCCCCGGGCCCCGCCCGCGTCCCTCTCGTCCGCCTCTGGCCGGAAGCCCCCTCCCCCTCCCTCCGCCCTGTCCCCGCACCCTCTGTCTCCTCCCAGTCCCTCTCCCCGGGCGGGTAGGGGAAACCTCTTTCCGCCCCGTCCCTCCCCCTTCCTCCGGACGGGCTCCTGGCTCCAGTCCCCAAACCCACGCCCGGCCCCGCCCCCACAGGCCCCGCCCCGGCCCCGCAGGCCACGCCCCTAGTTTCCCGCCCGGGCCCCGCCCAGACTCGCCCCGCCCGGGCCACGCCCCCACACAGGCCACGCCCCCTCGTTTCCCGCCCCGGCCCCGGGCCTCCCAGCGCCGCTACTCCCCTCCCCGGGCCCCGCCCCTTGGCCCCCGGAAGCCTCTCCCCGCCCCCAACCCCGCCCCCCCGAAGTTTCTTGGGCCCCCGGCGGCCCGCGGGACAGAGCGCAGAGAGCCGCCGCCCGGGCTGCTGTGGATGGAGGTGGCGTATCCCGCGCGGCGCGGGGAGTGAGCGGCGGAGCGGCGGGGCTTGAGCGGACTCGCGATGGAGGAGGAGGTGAGGGCCGGGCCGGGCGGGGGTCCGGGGCTGGGGTCTTCGGGCCCCTCACTTTAGTTGAGGTCGCAGGCTCAGGCCCTTGTTCCAACCAGCCTCCCTCTCTCCGGACTCCGGACACCCATCCCCACCCCCACCCCCACCCCACCCCCACCCCTCCCCGGGCAGAGCCTAGGCAGGAGGAGCAGGGGCCGGGGTAGGGTTCCGCGGCCCGCACTTCGCAGACCCGGCCTCCTTCGTTCTGTCTTTGGCTTCTCTCACCCACTGTGGGCATCGCGGGGGTTATTGTTCCCATTGGATTGACGGAGACACTGAGGCGCTGGTCAGTTAACGACTTGCTGGAAGTGGCTTGGGTTACTGGGCTCGAACCCGGTTACGGTTCACACCCCGTGCTGGCCAGGTCAGATCCTGGGGGGTAGTCTGTTGGTTTTGGAATCCCTGTCTCAAGGAATCTTGAGACCGTGACCGTGTTCAGAAGTTGCCTTTTTCTCCCCTCTGTAAGTACCTGTGACCCTCTTTCCCCTGCTCTCTCCCTTGCCCCAGAGTCAGGCCCACATAGGGGCTGATCCAGGCCTGTGCCTTCCCCACGTCCTTGGGAGGGCCAACTCCCTGGAGCAGCTGGGAGACTGGAGCAGCAGTGGGGCCTCTTGATCTGTCCTCTTCCCCCTCAGGACCCTCTTAGTCTGGAGTAGGGTCAGGCACTCATGACCCCCTTACCCCTTCACTTGTAAACTCAGTTCTCCCAGCAGCCTCATCATAGAAACACACAATATGAGCACTTAATGTATACCTGTGGAATGAATAAATTAGAGCCAGGACCCGCGGAGTCTCAAGGACTGCTTCTTGTCCCCTGAGGGGCTCTCAGCCTTTGCCCCTCCCAGCTCTAGGGAAGGGGATGTGTAGACCGGGAAGGGTGGAGAGGAAAGATGAAGCTTTCACTCTTGGGGCAACCCTGGCCGGCTGGGGAGCCCTTGGACCACACTGAATCTCCATCAGTTATACCTCCCCATTCCCCCGGGGCCACTGTTTGTCAGGGTTCCCTTTAGGCCAGGCCCTGCATTTCTGTGGGATGGTAGATAAGTCACTTCCCCTCTCAGCCTGCATTTCCTCTTCTATGAAATATAGGGCTTGGCCTCCTCTCCAGGTCTTGTGTGATTGTGTCCCCTTCTCTCAGAGTGAGTGGAAGTAGGGGGCAAGGTTAGGCCACTATGATTTGCTGTGGTTTCTTGCTGACAGGGGTGGGGCTGCCCTCCCCCATTCCAGGCCCCTGCTGAGGGTTGGACTGTCTGGTTGTGGCCCCTCCCCTTCTCCCAGAGGATGTGGGACAGGATTACTCCATCTCCTGATCTGTTCTGGCCCCCAATTAAGGGAAGTTCTCCTGGGGCCTCCTGGGCCGATGGTTTGTCTCGTGGTCAGCCCAGCCCAGCCCTGTACTCGCTCTGGTTCTGAGTTTCTAACATTGCCATTTACTGACTCCCAGATGCCAAGAGCTCCCCACATACCTGAGCCATCTAAGGTCTTGCTCACCTCCTCCCCTCATAGTCAGGGGCTCCCTATCTCCTACCTCCCCTTAGGCATTCCTAATTCTCTTCCTCCCATTTCTTCTAATCACTTCTTTTTTCTGTAAGTCTCAGTGCCCATCTTTGTTTCTCTAAACCACCTCTTAGATCATAGTCACCTGCTCTGCCCCATGACCTCAGGCTGGCCTCATCACCCTATTCCCACATAGCTGTTTTTACTCTCCCCCTAGCTTAGAGCTTCCTCCTGGTGCCAAGCCCCTTCAGCGTCAGTTGCCTCCTCTATGCAATAGCTTGGTAGTCCTCGTCAGTCTGAGGCTTACTGAAGAATTGTGGGTCTGGGCACTGGGCATTTGTGCCTTTGAGTTCTCAGGGCCTCAGTTTCCTCATCCATAAAATAAGAGAGGTGGGCAATCCACAAACGTGATGATACACATGCAAAAGTTTTTAAAACTGCAGATATCGTGGGATATTGTTGTTGCCACTGAAGTAAGGTTGAAAAGCCCAAACCAAGGCTTTCTTTCCTATCTCTGCCCTGGGGTTCTCTCCTTGCCCCCCTTTCCCTCTCACAGTCATGACTTTCCTTGGCTCAGCCTCTAGTGGCTCCGGGCTGCCCATTTGCCCATATCCCTCTAGAGAGAGGCAGGGCAGTGTCCTGTCCCAGCCCTGGTTTTGTGACCTTGAGCTAATCTCTTGCCCTTTCTGGGCTATAGTTTCTCATTCAATAGTGAAGGGGTTGAGTATAGGGTCTTTGATACCTTTTATGGCCTTCCTTTTCCTCTGGGTCACCCCAAGCCCTTACCCCACCAGGGAGCTAGGGCTGAGGTTTCCCTTTGGGTAGGTCCTGTGTTCCCCTCAAAAGGCTGGAGCCTGCACAGGCAAGGATGCCCTCCCCACCTCCAGACTGAGGACTTTCCTTGTGCAGGATCTATGCTGCCCCCCATCAGACTGGAAGTTGCTTCTGGGTAGAGAGCGCATGCTTCCTCTTTGTTTGCCCCATCCCAGCCTTTGACACAGTGGGTTCTTAGCGGGGTCTGGTCAGTACATCATTGGGTTTAGTTAAAGGGCAAAGGTCCTAAGCTACCTGTGATGTGAGGTGCCAGCAAGGTCTCTTCTACTTGTCTCTATCTCTCTGTCATGGCTTGTCTTGTGGCTTTCCACCTGTTCCCTTCTGTGCAGAGGGTTAGGGTGACTGGCATCTTTTTCTTAAAGGAATGACCCAGAGATCCCCCCCACCTCAGACAAAGTGGAGCCTTGCTGGTATTCAGGGGTGCCTCAGAAGCTGCTCACAGTGGGCAGGGGAAGGTCTGAGTGAGGATGGGTAGGAAGAGAGAGGGTGAAACAGGAAGAGCAGTGGTCAGCTGGTCAATAAGAAGAGAGAAGGCTGAGAAACTGGGCTGAGCAAGACAAAACCTTCCCTGTGAGCCCTGCCAGGGGGAGGGACCACTTATTAAAACTTACTGGGGCATAGCCAGGCCCCCTGGTGGGAGTGTCTGAGGGGCAGAGAGAGGGCCAGGGTAGAGGGTGGCAGGCAAGCGGGATTCTGGCCTTCAGCCAGGCCTCCCTTTTGGGAGGCTGATTCCTGACAAGGAGACCTTGCCCTGGGCTTTGGTTCATGCTACCTCCAGCCCCTCGGTTGTCACTCCCCTCTATCCCCCAAGTGACTTCTCGTCTCAGTGCCGTCCTGTTGCCACCCATCCCTAAAGGCCTTGGACTTGCTTCTTTCGCTGACTCAGTCATAGTATTCACTGGGTGCCGTTCTGCTACACCCCATGAGAGGACAGTGGTTAAGGCACAAGCTTCCAGTCTTGCCCCTCGGGAACTTCCAGCTGACAGGAAGTTTTCACAGGTCAGACAGTGGGTGAAGCAGGCAGGGGAGGTCACAAAGGGAGGGAGTTCAGAAAGGGGTGTGAGATCCCATGGGGTGGTGGGTGGGCCCCTGCAAAGCAGGAGGCAAGTTTGGAGCTCAGCAGTGGGAAACCAGGCAGGAGCTTCATGTTCTGCAGTCTCTACTGCTTTGTTCCAAAGAGACTGAGAATCAGCAGACCTAGGAAGTGGCCAACAGCATTGTAGTTGCTGATGGAGGGGTGTGAAGTGTGGCATGGGGTTATACATCTCCCACTTCTTCCTTCTAGCACTGGGCGTGGGCCAGCCTGCAGGGTTCACTGAGGGGGATGAGGCCCCTGCTGGTCATGTAGCTAATGGGGGCTGAACACAGGGTCTCTGGTATTGTGAGTGGTACATGATAGGACGTGAGAGGGTTAAAGCATGCTGAAGTCCCCTCTTTCTCTGGTCAGGGTGGCTCATAACTGGCCTGTAGACAAGTCTCCCACTTCTTCATTCTTCCATCCAGGAAGACCCTTTGGGACCATCTCACTTTGCCATTCCATCTGCCTTCTACAAGTTTCAGAGAGATGATGAGAGGCATGCCACATTCCTGGAGCTCCTGGGGTGATGAAGCCCAGTAGCTAAGCCCAGAAAGGATTTCTCCTGAATTCTGAACCAGGCTCAGGGAAAGGGTCCCTGATTGCCAGAGAGGATGCCAATGACAACAACATTGATAATGATAGCTACCATTTCCTAAGTTTAGGGTATTCTAGGCACTGCTTTATATGCCATATTTTTATTCAACAAACATTTATTGAGCACCTACTGTATGCCAGATGCTATCAAGGCACTGGGGATATTGCAATAAACAAAAATCCTTGCCCTCGTGGAGTTAAAATCCTTGTAACTTCTGTTACATCTTCATTTCACAGATGAAGAAACTAAGGCTTAGAGAGGTTAAGTGGCTTGTCTCTGGTCTGTGTGACTGGGGCTTCAAAGCTGACTCAACCACCAGAGTGTGCAGTTCAGAGGGGTGGGGCCACAGTGAGAATCAGGCTGGGGCTCCCCTGCCATGATAGAGAGCAAGGAGGCAGTGCCCTGCCCAGCCCCCAACAGCTCACCACACTTCTGCCCGGGCTTGTCCTTCCAAGGGCAGCTGTGGCCACAGGGTATCCCTGGGGAGAGGCGTGCTCCTTTTAACTGGGGCCCCTTTTTTGAACTTTATGTAAATTATAAAGTAGTCAAAATTAGTCAGTGCTAATTTCCTTCTAGCATCCTCTAGATTTGACAGGCTCTTGACCTTCTCTCTTCTATCCTCCCCTTCACACTCACTGCTGTGGGCCCCAGTCACTGAAGCAAAGTGGTTAGCAAATTGGTGTATTTTTATTTTCCTTTCACAGATGTTTCTTGAACATCCATTATGTGTAAAGGAACAGTGCTAGGGGCTGGGGACCAGAGATAAATATGATCCCATCTGATAGGCATGTACCTGACACCCAGCAGATAAATTGAGGGCCGCAAGATGTCAGTGGCTGGCCTGGAGGCTCCAGGGTGGCTGCCCATGTCCAAAAAGAGGGTTCAAGTTTATCTCCTGTACCAGCCTGAGGTTGAAGGCAGAGTCCTTGGAGCCCTTACTGGATGGATGGCCACCCCCCGCAACCCTGGCCTATAGTGGTGCTAAGAACATAGGGCCTCCTGCTTTGGGCCAGGAAACGGGCTGCAGACAGGGTTCTCTTGAAGGGCAGGGGTGGAGAGACAGATTGCCACCACGTGCCTGCTTCCTCCCATCCTTCTGCTCCTGCCTGAATGTCCTCTCCCCTGGGATGCCTTCCTGGGCCACTCAGACCTGAGCCAGGTCCCCACTGTCCTCTCTCACTCCTTCACGCCCCCTTCACTGTTCCCTTCATAGCATTTCATGCTTGTTAATGTATTTATGCCTGGTGTTTGTTTGGCTCCTTCTTCCCTGCATTGCCAGCTCTAGGAGGACAGAGACTCGTTAATTTGATTCTTCTCTGCTTACCCCAGCACCTGTGACGCTGTAGGTGCTCAGTATAGCCTTTCCTTGACTAGTTTAATGAATCCACGAGAGACAGAGTGGAGCTGAAAGAACATGGGATTAGAGACCTGGCTTGAGTTCTGGATTTGTCCCTCTCGCTGTGTGACTCTGGCAAGTCATCTCCTCTTTGAGCTTCAGCTTGCTGTACCCTGTGAATAACGATGCTACTGCCTCAGAGAGTAGTTATACGGGTTAGGTGGGATGATGTGTGTGCAACGTAATCTGGTAGCTCAGTACTGACGTGCCTGTTGCTACCGTTATAACTGTTCTTTCTGATACTGGATTAAGGATCCCTGTCGTGGGGGTTTTGGGGAAGCTCATGTGGAAAGATATGACGAGGTACCCAGCAGAAGGACACATCCCTTGTGTGGCCATTAGACTGTGGGGCCCCATGGCAGCAGCCCTCATGGCATGTCCTGATGCTATCTTACAGGGTGTGAAGGAAGGGGGCGAGAAGCCTCGGGGAGCGCGGATGGCAGACAAGGCCGGCTGGATCAAGAAGAGCAGCGGTGGCCTCTTGGGGCTTTGGAAAGACCGGTATCTGCTCCTCTGTCAGGCCCAGCTGCTGGTCTACGAGAATGAGGTAAAGACCCACCTGGCTGTGTGGTTGTTGGTGCTGGGGCAGGGGGCAAAGGAATGGTGGCCAGGAGGATCCCAGAACTGGCCCTAGAAGACCTGCTCCACTTTTGACATACTGTGTAACTGGATTTGGTTCCAGACCTGACTCCCTGGGCGATTCCCTGATCTTCTCTGGGTTTCTGTGGTAGGAGGACAATACCTGTAGGTGCAAGTCTAGGGCTCTGGAAGAAGGTTTTCTTTGAAGTGTATGTGTACAGGGATGTGCTTGTCTCCTCAGTGTATGTCTGTTCTGTAACTCCTTGTCATGGGGCTAGATGGCATATAAATGAATGTTTCGGAAAACTAAAGCTTGTCCCATTCAGCAATGAGAGTAGAAATAAAACTGCACTCATGCTTGTCTGGGGCTCTTACATATCTCTCGTATAAGGCTCAGAGTAGTCCCATGAGAGTATCATCATGTCCCAGAGGAAGATACTGAGGCCCAAGGGGGCTAAATGACTGCATGAAGAAGTTGGGACCAAAACCAAATCCACTGCTCTTTTCACCAATAGATTCTGGCAAGTAAATTCTAAAGCTTATTTTCGGTGGAAATCCTCTAAAACATGTTGAATATTCTCTGCCTTCTTCAAGAGAAGGTGTTGGACTAAAAGTGCGTCTTTACCTGGTAGCTCAGAGTCACCTATCATCAGACTATTCCGGACTGCAGACTGTACTTTTCAGCTTTTCTTTTTGCTTTCATGTCAAGTGCCAGTTGCCACTTTGGCTGTCCTTGTGCCTGTCCTGGTCCTCACTGCTTCCCACTTCAGTCTTGTGCCCCTTCTCATTTCAGTAGGCTCCGAACTTGGACAACCAAGGATATTAAAATTGTGTGTTAAGACTTGAAAGAGCTCTGGGTGAAGATCTGAGGAGGAGAGGTGGCTTTTGCATGTAGATGCTGTTTGTGTTCTGGGATTGAGGCCATCAGAAGGCCCATCTGTGGAAAATGGGCTGTCACTGTGTGCCTTTGACAGATGGAAGAACTGGCCTGGAGGCAGAAGAAGAGGGATCCTTCCTCCTCCCCACCATCCTTTCTCAGCATCCCTCAGGTTATCTTGGCAAACTCCTAACTGTCCCAGGCCAAGAAAGGTGGGGCAACCTGTTCTGACTGTTTAAAGGAACTGCCTTTGAGAAGCACCTTGCCTTTCCTGACCAAGTCTCCAGGCTCATGGAGTTGGGGTGTCAGAGAAGCAGCTGGAGTAGGATGAGGCAATGAAATGTGCAAACAGCACCCCCCTCCCCCCGATGTTCTATACTGCTGCTGTCACCAAATTAGGACGTGCTGTAACGGCAGGAGGGGGATATTTTTTTTTATAAATAAAGGCAGTTGTCACAGCTTCCTTCGGTCCCAGCTGCCTTAAGAGTTGAGTGACAAGCCCCCAAGCTGTCAGCCTGTCAGGCACTGCCAGACTTGTCCTGGTCCCTCTCTCCACATCTGGCCACAAACTGTGAAGCAGGAAGGATTTCACATCCCATAAACATGAAACATCTAAATCATGCTTTTAAAAAAAAAGTCACTATTAAAAACCTCAGTGCAATTTCAAGAACTTCACACTTGGGGGTAGGGAAGGTTGGCCCAGGAGCAGGAATTGAGAAATGCTTATTAGTTCAATTCCTCTTTCTGATGTAAGGAACTAGGCGAGTGCAAATGGCTCTTGGCTGTTTCTTCGCTGTCAGTGAGGCTGACATTCCACAAATGCTGCCCCCACCCAGTACTGCTGGTTTATCCGTTTTTGTGAGCTGCAGAAGGGCCAGATGATTCAGCCTCTCCGGTGGAGAGGAAACCCAGGTCAGGCAACCCTAGGGAGCCGGGTGGTGGGGGATAGACTGACTTTTCGTTCCCAGACAGAGGGGGGTATGTTTGGGCCAGTAGTTGTCCAGTTGAGGGAGGCCTGTGCGCTTGGCGCAGGTGAACTGCTCTCTCTGGGACCGGGCATCCTTCCCCAGGCAGCTTCCTTTCTCTGGATGCAGGTAGGAGGGGACATCTTGGAGCCTCACACTGGGGTCAGGTCTTCATTCCAGCAAACAAGTCCTACGTGTGCCCCTCTTGAGGGCTACCTTTCCTAGGGCGCTATAGGGGGACAGAAGGGAGAGCAGACAACATGCAGCACAGGGCAGGGAGAGATGCCTGTCAGGGAGGTAGGACTGTTCTTCCCATGACAGGATGGCCCCAGCACCTCATAAAGTGCCTGTGCCTGGCAGGTGCTTTGTGGATGGGAAACCTCAGAGGAGACCAAGCACCAAGGCTCAGGCTTGGGGGTATGGGGGGGGGGAGCTTCCGGGAGCAAGTGATCTTACTAGCCCTTGTGTGGAATGAAGGAACTTGGAAAGGAACTAGGGGTTGAAAAAAGATGCTTGGAAGCAAAAGTGGGCACAGACATTTAACTGAACCTGGATGGGAAAGATCAGGCCATCCTGGCCATCCATCTGTTCCCTTCCCCTGAGGGCCCAAACAGAGAGCAGGTTAACGATTATTGCCCTTGGCTATACAGTCATCTCCTTGGAAAAATACTGATGCCTGGGCTCCATCCCACAGAGGTCCTGATGAAACTGGTCTGAGATGTTGCCTGGGCATTGGGGTTTTTAAAGTTCCCAGGTGCTATCAAGGTTGAGAACCTCTGTTCTACCGAACATACATCAGAATAACCTGAAGTGCTTGTTCATTGTCAGATTGTTAGGCCCATTCTCCCTATAGTTATGATTCAGGAGAGATGAGGCCTGAGAATTTGCATTTCTAACAAGTTCGCAGGTGGTGCTACTGCTGGCCAAGTACCACACTTGGAGGGAGGTCACACTTGGAGGACTGATACAGAGCTACCTGTTGGCTAAGACATTGATCACCAAGCCCCTAACTGTGGCTGGGAGGAGTGTTGTGCGCTAGAAAGAGCTCTGGCCTGGGAGGCAGGAAGTAGGTTTGCATTTGGCCCTGCCCCTTATATTTGTGTCTGTGCCCCTTGAGCAAATCAGTCCACCACCAGGCCTCATTCTCTTCCTGTATACAGTGAAGCGAATACAGAGGCTCTAGGCTTTCAGAGTGATTGAGAGGCTCAGGAGAATCAGAGATGCAAAAGTGCTTGCTAAGTGTCAGGAGTTCTTAACATATGCAGATTATCATGGAGGGAAATCACGGCATTTCCTCTGCAAACAACTGAGTCACTGCCTCTCAGATATTCCACCAAAAACTGCAGAGCACCAACGTAGTCCCTGGTGGGTGCTCTTGCTGGCTCTTTGAGTGATGTCCAATAGCAAGCATGTCCTTAATTTGCTGGCCAGCCTCTGGGGCAGCTCTCTCCTCCAACCCCCACCTCCAAGGCTTGCTTTTTCTTCCCTGGACACTCAAGAGTGAGAATGTAGCACACTGAGAAGTCGTCCCAGCTGGGTCTCCCCTGGAAGAGGAAGGAATTGACCCAGGCAGCTTGCTAGAAAGGCACCTGGTAGGTAGAGCCCACATGGAGAAGATACTCCAGTGCCAGGGCTGGCGGGCAGGAGGGCAGCTCAGCCAGGGTCCAGGGGTGGCCCAGAAGAGGCTGGCCACTGGTTTTCTTAATGATGGGGCCTCAGGATAGCAAGCTACCCTGCTATCCTGAGGGGATTGCTTTTGAAGGAACCCTTGCCCTCTCCATTTTGCAGGCCAAGGAAAGTGGCCTCTCCACCTAGCCAGGGGTCGGTGGAGGAAGATGCCAAGTCAGTTCAGGATCATTGTGGTAAACGCAGGGCAGGCAGCCCAAGTGTGCCTGGTTCACATTTCCCTCTGTGGCCCTGCCTAGAAAGTCTTTTCTTTGTTTTTCTCATTTTGTGACATCCTGCTCCCTCTTCCAGGCTACCTCTTCCACAAATCTCTGCCTGGCCTCTTGGCCTGCATGGACTCCCAGGTACCCTTTTCCTAAGTCTCTACAGCTTCCCCTGTGTCCTCCTTTGGCCTTAGGCATTTGAGTCAACCCTGCTACCCACCTCCGGGCTGGGTGCCCCATTTCTCATGTGGATGCTGAGCCTTAAGGGCATCCCTCCAATCAGCATGGACAACACCATCTACTTGCTGGGGGGTCCAAATACCACATCTTTTGGTGATTGATTGGCAGCCCAAGGTTGCCTTCCGACCGAGTGATGCCTTCACTAACTGATATCGGAGTCTGAGGTGGGGCCTGGGTGTTTGAGGGTCTGGGTGTGTCTGGCTCTCACCAATCCATGTCCCTTCTATCTCCCTCCCCAGGACGAGCAGAAGTGTGTGGAGACAGTGGAGTTGGGCAGCTATGAGAAGTGCCAGGACCTTCGTGCCCTCCTCAAGCGGAAACACCGCTTTATCCTGCAGCGATCCCCAGGGAACAAGGTAGGGCTATGCCCACTGCTGTCTGACCTCTCTCCAGGCCTTGGTTGGTTTGGGAAGATCACCCCTTTCTCTAAGGCAGGTCAGGCCCCTGGATATAGCCTCTGGAGGGTCTCTGGAGTGTGGCTGAGGTTCAGACCCAGGGGCTGTCTCAGGTTGGACCTTTTGCTCATTTTGGTCTGGAGTCTCCCCAGCCCCTAGTTGATAGAAGATGCATTTAGGGCTCTGCTGAGAAATCTGGTCCCCTCTTCCCGTCCAGGCTCTGGGGCCTCCTTCCCAGGCTGTAGTTGAGGGTGGGGCCCTTTGCCTGCCCCCACACCCTGGACACATGAGGTGCAGGCCTGAGACAGCAAAGTGGGAGAATGAGCCCTTCTGCCCACCAGGCCTGCAGTAAGTACCCTGATATCTTCTGGGGCAGAGGGGAGGCTATGACCTCCACTTCATCTCAGGCCTTCGTGGGCGGGCCACCCTTTCTGCCTACATTCTGGACTCAGTGCTCAGACCTGCAGCCCCCACCTTTGCTCCCTTTGCACACTCCCTTCGTGGCTGAAGCTGGAGAAGGTCTCTTGCCTGGGAGGTTCTTCCCCTGGGACATGCTGTGTGTGTGCAGATGATGTTTGCTGTTTGCACCACATTTCTCTGGCAGGGATTCTGGATGGGTGTTGATGCATGGTATAGTTTCACAGATGTCAGGAAGGAGTTCAGATTTGGGGCTGGCGGGTGCAACACCTCTTCAGCTCGCTCCCATCTGCAGCTGGGCCCTGCCTCACCCCAACCCCTGCACATCACGCAGAGCCTCACAGAGTGAGTCTGAGTCACAGAGGCTGGGGGTTGGGGAGCATCTGGTCTGGGCTGCTGGAGACCATTCTGTTCTCCCCCAGCTTTAAGGGCCAGGAGCCTAAGTCTTCTGATCCCCAGGGCTCTGGGCCCCAGAGGAGGCTGTGATGTGTAACTCACTAACCCTTTGTCCAACTGCACAGCGGGTGGGGCACAGAGGCAACTGGAGCTCTGAGAGTTGGGGGATGAGTCCAGGTTTGTGGTGTTGAGACAGTTCATGGGGCTGGACCCAGGTTCCACTTGACCTCTGTGGCTCAGGGCTCTCCAGAAGAGGAGAGCCATATTTTGTCTTTCAGTCCTGTTAGCCCCCTCCCTGCTCTGGAGACCTACTTTCCTCCCCGAGCAGGCACTGTCCGTTGGGTGTATGTGTGTATGACATGCAGAGCACGTTATGTGTGGTCTGGCATGTGTGTGAACCTCTTTATATGCAGGTGAGTGTTCACATGACCGTGGATCTGTCGGGGTCTCTGTGTCTCTGAGTGAGCTTCTGTGATGTGGGGGGGATAGGGCCGTGCTGCTCTGTCCTCTGCCAGTGCTGTTCTGTGGGCTGCCCCCTTCCCCAGCTCTGCCGATCAGCTGATGGTGGGCTTGGGTGAGTTGGGCCCAGCTCAGGGTGGGCTCTCACCTTCAGAGAGGTCTGTTTGTGCAGCTGCATTCTTAGCTGCTTTGGCCTACACCCTCCCTCCTTCCACCCTCCTATCCTGCCAAGAGTTGAAGTCCGCTCCCGGTGACTCTGGGAACAGGATGATAAGTCGGGGAGATGGGGCTATGGAGCAAGTAGTGGGGGCTGAGGATGGTGGGGGGACAGCACATCCCGTTCCACTCTCCCTGACTCTCACCGCCTGAGGAACTGCTATGGGGAGCACGGCTCTCCAGAAGTCAGATAGCGGACCGCCCAGAGCACCATGGCCCTGCATCCTCTCACCCTCCTTTCCTATCGCCCTGGGTGTTCCCCACCCTCAGGGAGGCCGCCTGCCGGCCAGGAGGTCACATGACCCTGGCTGTCTGGTCCTGAGGCCTTTTTTTTTCCCCCTCTAATCAAATAAACAAAGACTCCAGTGTCTTGCATGGCCCTCTCCCCCTGCCTCCCATCCCCACGCCCTTGCCATGAGGTCACAGGCGGACGCTGCCAGGAAGCAGGGTGGCCTAGCTGGGCCTTGCTGCCCTGCTGGTCTCGGCCAGTTTGGCCCATTCCTCTTTCCTGCTCCCTCTCTCCCCCTCCCACTTTTTTCCTCCCTGCCATCCTGTCCTCCCTCCTTTCCCAGGCCATGTGGGCCTATTCTGTGGCCAGTCCCGTTAGCTGTGAGACTCCTAGCAGCGCCTGTGCCCCTTGGGCTTCTTGGAAGGGCTGGAGAGGGATGTGTGCGGCCTGTGGCTCTTTGGGACACAGGGCTGGGGGAGGAGCAAAAGGAACAACTTCTTGGGGTTCCACTTGAACCTTTCTGGTCCCCCTTGCAGAATGCCTGGCTCATTCAGCCAGGACAACAAGGTTCCTTAGAGTGGGACTGGGTCCCATTTAACTGTGTATTCCCTCTCCTGGGGGATCCCTTTGGCTAGTATGTAGGTCTTCCTGAGGCCTTCTCCCTCACAGAGAGCAGAAAAGAACAGAGCCCCAGAGCCTGCCTCAGGGGGGCTGGCCAGTGAGGAAGGACTGCAGCTTGGGTTGGGCACAGTGGTTCTGATCTTGTCCTGTTGAGGCCCTGGGGAGTGAATAGGCCTGTATGTTGTGGGTTGGTGGGACTAGAACTCTTTTAGCTTGACTCCCACCCAGGCCAGTGCTCCTTCTCTGCCCTATGCGTGTTTCATCTGGCTGAGTTCAAGTGTGTGGCTCTGCAGCTCTCCGGCATGCTAAATCCTGCATTAAGCAGGGGCCCCACCATCTCGAGGCCTGAGAAGGAGGAGCAGCTGGGCTCCAAGGGGCTGGCCCGGGGCGCCTTTCTGGCAACCCCATCACAGGGTTGGGTGGGCCCTTGCAGAGCCTGGATGTAGCCACTGGCCCTCCCTGAGCCCCCGATAGCCCTGGTGGCTGGACTAAGAGGCAGTTGCCAAGGTGCCCTGGGGCTTCTGACTTAACTGAAGATCTGCTGCCAGGATCGAATTTATCCTGGTCATGCAAATGAGCATTTGGCTGTGCCTGGCATGGGGAGGTGGGTGGGACCCAGGGCCCTGTATGAGGAGGAGGCGGCGGCAGCCAGGGGGAAGTTATATAACGAGGATGCTGCGGGGGCCAGGCGGACTGTGGTGTTACATAACGTTGAGGGTAGCAGGAGGGAAGGCGCTATCTAACACCACAGCAGGGGGATGGGCAGGCTGGCAATCCGCCCAACAAAGAACTAGGGCATCTTGAGGTCAGAGTGGGCAGTGGCCCAAAAACGGGGCAAGGGAGGGAACTGTGGGCCAGTTCATTCATTTTTTTGGCTCATTCATACAGCAACTATTTGCTGAATACCTACTATGTGGCCCTGGCTTTAGTCATGTTTAATTCCCTTGGCATTGCTTTGGGAAGGCATGATCCCTTTATCCAGATGAGGAAACTGGGACTGTTTTGTCAGAAGGAAGGCAATGGTGATAATTCTTGTTACTGAGCACTTACTCTGTTCCCAGCTCCAGATTCAACACTTAATTTTTATTTATTTTTTTTAAGATTTTATTCATTTGAGACTGAGAGATAGATAGATAGAGAGAGAGAGAGAGAGAGAGAGAGAGAGACTATGAGCAGAGGGACAGGTAGAGAGAGGGAAAAGCTGAGCTAGGAGCCTGACATGGGGCTCAGTCCCAGGACCCAGAAATCACGACCTGAGCCAATGGCAGATGCTCAACCATCTGAGCCATCCAGGCGCCCCGATTCAGTACTTTAGATACATATTTTATCTTCACAGCTCCATGGGGCAGGTTGTAGTGGTCTTGGCCTTTTACAGATGAGGGAACTGAAGCCCAAGGTCAGCCAGCTGTAAGCAACATTCTGCTATGATGTCCACCAAGCAGAGTGGCCCTTCAGTTTATGTGGCCTTGCTACTTCTACCATTTCCTTCCTGACTTGGGGCCTGGCAGGGAGAGGGCTCTCTGAACAGCCTTCTGATTCTTTTTTTTTTTTTTTTTTAAGATTTAAATTTTTTTATTTTTATTTTTAAGTAATCTCTATAGCCAATGTGGGCCTCAAACCCACAACCCCGAGATCAAGAGAAAAATGCTCCACTGACTGAGCCAGCCAGATGTCCCTCTCTGATTCTAATGTAGATGCTGGGAGCTCCTGCCTGAGATGAGAACCCTGGTGTGGGGTGGGGTGTAGAGTCAGGTGTTATGGGATTACTTTAGGTCACCTTGGCCAAGTCTCATCCCATCTGTGAGCCTGTTTCCTCATCTCTATGAGGAGGGAATTGGAATTGACCCCCAGTGCCCTTTCTCTTGTATAGTCTATGATTCAAGGCCAGAAAGGAGACCCTAGGACTTTTTCACTTGGGCAAGGCTGAGTGGGGGACCCCAGGGAAGCTGCATTTGGCCCTGGTTCCATGGGGTCTTCACCGATGAACACCCTCCCTACCTTTCACCTCTGTCATGGTACTAAGCCTGGTGTGCATGTAGACTGGGACAACTATTTTATGGAGAAAACAGGCAGCTCGTCTAGGGAAATCACATGGAGTAGACCAGATATTGGCTTTTTGTACAGGGCAAAGCAGATTTGAATCCAAATCTCTGTGTAGCATCATGTTGACACCCAACCCCTTCTCTGCTGGATCCATCCCCTCGCCTTCCCTGAAGCCCCATGTCTGTCTGTTGTGGGGGTCATTTCAGTTTGCTCCTGGCCAGATGTGCCAGGGCAGACTTTGGGATCTGGGATAGGAAGCTTCCTTAAGACCCCACATGTGAATTTTGTTAAACATCTGCCATCCATCCCATCCATGCCCCCTGTAGGTCAGCGACATCAAATTTCAAGCAACCAGTGGGGAGGAGAAGGAATCCTGGATCAAAGCCCTCAATGAAGGGATCAACCGAGGCAAGAACAAGGCTTTCGATGAGGTGCGATGCAGTCCTGTGGATGGCTCCATGTCCTCTTTCCCACTATGTGTGATCTCAGAGAGGATCCTGCCCAGCCCACTTCAGACAACTCCTTGATTATGTCACTGCTACAAATCCTATTGTTACCTCACCTAATACTTACAACACACCCCTCAGAGCAGATGATAGTGTACCCATTTTAAGGATGAAGAAACTGAGGTGTCAGGAAATTAAAGAATTTCTTTTAAATTAAAAAATGAGTAAGTAGAATTTAGTGGTAGCCATGCATCCTTTCTAACCCAGCCTCAGCTGAAAACAGCAGGCAGGCTGAGGCTGGAGGTGTCTGAGGGACTGAGCTGAGACCTTTCAGTTTGGCTGTCAAGTTCAGGCCAGGCTGACTCTGGCCCTGGGCCTCCCCGTCTGTCAGCAATGACCAGCAGCTGCCTGTACTGTGGTGTGACCTGTGGCAACACTGGCTGTGATCAGGCTTGAGGTAGGCAGGGTGTTCCATGGGGCCAGATCTCCTAGGGAGGATTTGTCTTTGACATCATGGATTTGTAGCTATTTGGGCTAAAGTGGACCTAGGGGCCACCTAAGCTGACCCCTTGGATTGCAGAAGACTGAGACCTGAGGGAAAGAATCTTCCCAAGCAAGTCTCTCTTAACACCCAGGTCTCCTGACTCACAGCCATGGTTCCTATAACATGTTTTATGAGACTGTGTTACGCTCAGCTCTTCACTAGCTGGAGAAAATATCCTCGTTTCGGTGGTGAGGGGTGATGGGACATAGCATGGGTATTGGAGGCCAGTCTTGGTGGAGCAGTCAGGAAGGAAGACTGTTGAACCTCGCCCCTGCCCCCACCCGGGGTGGGCCTGACCTTGAGCCTCACCTAAGGGTTAAAGAGTCTGAGCCATACTCTCCATCAAGGACAGGCTGCTCCAGGCTTCAGAGTCTGGATTTCCCATGTGAATCCTACTTACTCTGGCTTCCCAGCTACTCCTACCTGTCTTTCCTTACTTCAGAGAGGATATGCTGTCTTCTAGACACCCTAGCCCAGAGGGTTATCTTTCCCGGGCTATCCTAAAGGGACCTGGGAAAGTGACTGGGGCTGTTTTCTGGAAGCCAGGCACCAGGGGATCATGGGCTGCTTTTCCCTGCTCCCCCAGCTAAGCATAACAGCAGCCTTGGGCTGCTTGTGTATATTTGCAGTAGCCTGAAGGGCAAGGGCTCATAGCCCGTATCCAGGCAGAAAGACTGAGGCAGAGAGGATGGCTCCAGAGAGGGAGAGCCTCAGACTGCAGAAAGATGACAGGCAATGTAGGGACAGGAAGAAAAGCAGAAAAGGTGCCCCCAGGAGAAGACCAGTGGTGGGGCCCTGACCCTCTAATGGAAAGATGTAGGTGTAGACCCAGCCTCTGAATCGGGTTAATGCCTGGGCATTTCTTCCTCTCCCTGGTGGGCACTGACCTCATTCCTTCTGCCCAGGTAAAAGTGGACAAGAGCTGTGCCCTGGAGCATGTGACACGGGACCGGGTGCGTGGGGGTCAGCGGCGCCGGCCACCTACAAGAGTCCACCTGAAGGAGGTAAGAATTTGCCCCAAGATGTCAGTTGAGCCGGGGATCCCAGCTCCTCAGGGTGGCAGCCAAACTTGGGGCCACCTTTTCCCAAGGACTCGGAGTTGGGCCTTCCTGGGTCGTATACAGGGTGTTTGTGTGTTATATGTGTCTGGGGTGTAGATAGGCCTGCTTTGCTTGTTGAGTCTGCACACTGGCCTTATCCAGAGTTGGCACCTGAAGGAAACGAGACACTGAGGCTAGCCCCCCTGCCTCTCAGACCTCAGCTTCCACCTGGAGAAAAGACCTGTCCACAGACTGCTCCAAGCAGAGTGGTGTGTAACTTCTGTACAGGGAGGGGGTCTGAGAGGCCAGGCAGGAGAGACCACAGAAGGGCCATTGGCCCTTGAGCCGGCCCTTGAAGGATGTGGAGGGTTTCCATTGGCCAACTTGATGTGAGGGAGCTCCCTGGTGGAAGGAATGACCTGAGCTGAGGCAGGAGAATTTAGGGTGTACCGAGTCCCTTTGACCAGGACATGGGTCTGGGAAGGTGGGTTGAGGGGAGGAGACTGGGCAGGCCTTAAATGCTGGAGCTGAGGACAGAATGGATGGGAGGGTGTGACCCAGAGGTCAGTTTGAGCCCCAGGGTATGGTGGGCTGGGTTGAAGGAGGGAAAGGCTGGGAGCCAAGAAGAAGAGGGAGGAGGTAGGTCCTCCAGACTCCAGGAGGGGACAGTGGGAGAGACACTGGGCTTGTCACAGAATACAGGGCTAGAGGAGATGGACCAGATGGTGGGAGAGGGTTGTCCACAGGTGCCTCCAAGCCTGTCGATTGGGTGAATGGAGTGCCTGGGCACAGGGAATTTGGAAGAAGTTATGGGCAGGGTAGGGGTAAGGGAGGAGCCCTTTTGCAGACCAGTGTTACTGACGGGAGTGGGGGAAAGATTTTGGAGGCCAGGAAAGAACCTCCACAAATGCTACATTTCGGGGAGTGGGGGCCAGGCAGCAGAGAGCCAAAGACGAGGAAGCCACAGAGGCAAGCAGCACATCCAGAAGGAGAGAAGGGCACAGGACATGGGGGTTATCAGCCAGGTTGGCAGCCACAAGATACAAAGCAGGAGTGGGGAAAGGGGCAGGTGGTGACATTTACTGCATCAGTTTTCTCAGAGAAGGTTGGCTTAGATTTGTCAAGGGCTGCAGAGCTGGGGGTGCCAGAGGAAAGGGACCAAGGTCACTGGAGAGTTTGTTTTTGAAATGAGACAGGCTGTTTGCGCCTGTCAGCTAAGGGAATAAAGCCTGTAGAAGGAAAGACTGACGTAGCCAGAGAGAAAGGGAATGCCTGAGGGGAGGGCTAGGTGTTGGGGGAGGGCCAGCCTAGGAGGGAGAGACCCTCAGAAGAATTTGGGGAGGGACTCATGTCCCAGTGACTAAGTGAGGATATGTGTTGGTCAGATCACCTGTGTGCATGGTGAAAGGGGGTGGGAGTCCTAGCCAAGACCTCCATCCAGAGGGACCTTGGCAGAGGCCTCCTGCCCAGTCCTGCTCCAGGGCCTCTGAGGCTCACTGGGAGGGTCTCCATAACCATTGGGCTGCTGGGTGTCCCCGTGAGTCCCTGGGAGGGGTGGGGCAGCTGCCTACTTGGTACAGCTGTCCGCCCTTGGCAGTCAGCTGTGGTCTGGGGCCACCTCTGACGGCATGAGGAGAGTAGGAACTGGCCGCGCAGCAGCTGGGCAGCCAAAGGCTGCAGAGATCTGGGCAGGAGGGCTGGTGGTGAGGCTGGCAGATCAGACGGCGGTCTCCGGGGGTGGGGGTGGGGGGTTGAGAAGCAGACGTGAGTGGGCTCCAGACAACTCAGGAGACTGTGTTCAGTCCTGGTCCCACTGGCCCCCTAGGTGGGTAGTTGCACAGATGGGATCCTCCCAAGGCCAGACAGCCAGAAAGAGGTCAGAAATGGAGCTGGAGGGCAGCCTGGGTGCCTCAGCAGTTTAGCACCGCCTTCAGCCCAGGGCCTGATCCTAGAGACCCAGGATCGAGTCCCACGTCAGGCTCCCTGCATGGAGCCTGCTTCTCCCTCTGCCTATGTCTCTGCCTCTCTCTCTCTCTCTCTCTCTCTCTCTCTCTCTCTCATGAATAAATAAAATATTTTTAAAAAGAAAAAAGAAAAAGAAATGGAGCTGGAACCGTGTCCCCTGCTGCCCAGGCCAATATCATTGCCATTAAAAAGCAGTCTCTTTCACAGGCTGGGACACCAAGAAGACTAGGCTCTGACTTCCAGGCTTGTGACCTCCAAAACAGGGAGTTCTATAGTGAGGGAGAGGAGAGGATTCATCAGAGAACTCCTTTATCTTCTAATCACATGGCCCTGGAAGCCAGGGCCGAGAGTAGGGGGCTGGGGGCGTGGGCAGCCTGGATGGGATGGCTTGAGTACCTGGGTGGGTGGGCACTGACTCAAATGCCAGTCATCCAAGATGACGCCCATATGCTGTCCCCCGCCAGGTAGCCAATGCAGCTTCTGATGGGCTTTTGCGCCTGGACCTCGAAGTTCCAGACAGTGGGCCTCCGGTGTTTGTCCCCAGCAATGATGTCAGTGCAGCCCAGCCCCGGGAGACCCTCAGGCCCCCTGTGCCTCCTACCAAGCCTTCCTCAGCACCCGAGACGACCAGCCTTGGTGACAGCCTGGAGACCCCTGCTGGGGAGAGAGCCCCATCTCCTGCCTCAGCAAGCTCGGAGTCCTGCTCTGGGAGCCGAGAGGACTCAGAGACTCCAGTGCAGGAGGACAGTGGCTCTGAGCAGCCCCCCAGCAGGGTCCTGCCTGACAAACTGAAAGTTAGCTGGGAGAATGCCAGCCCCAAGGAGCCCCCCGACTTTGAGAGTACAGAACTCCAGGTGCCCCGCTCTGAAACTCCTGAGGCTGTGCCCAAGGAGGGTGGGAAGCCCCCTACACCACCACCCAAGATCTTATCAGAGAAACTGAGAGCTTCCATGAGTGGGATGGGGACTTCTGGGCCAGCACAGATTCCTGAGGCCTCTGAGACCTCTGCCCCAGCCCCAGCACAGATCTCAGTGAATGGCATGGATGACAGTCCTGAGCCAGTCAAGCCACCTCAGGCCTCGAGCGTCCCAGAAACTCCCTCAAAGGATGTAACAACACCCACAACACTGCCCCACTGGAACCTGCCATCTCATTTCCATCCCCGCTGCTCCTCCCTGGGGGACCTGCTTGGGGAAGGCCCCCGGCGTCCACGGCAGCCTGGAGAACGGCTGTATCGGGCCCAGCTGGAGGTGAAGGTGGCCTCAGAACAGACGGAGAAACTGTTGAACAAGGTGTTGGACAGTGAGGCGGCCTCCGGAGGCACTGAGGCATTGCTCAGCCAGGCTGTGGAGCAGCTGAGGCAGGCCAACCAAGTCCTACAGGAAATGAGAGATCTAGGAGAGCTGAGCCAGGAAGCACCTGGGCTACAGGAGAAGCGGAAGGAGCTGGTGACCCTCTACAGGAGAAGTGCACCCTAGGACCTGCTGGGCCAGGGCACGGTCCCTCCTAGCTGGCCCCGTCCATCATAGCCCAGCCCTGCCAAGAAACATGCTTCTGCTCAGGCTGCAGAAGGGCCATCAGGCATGTTGGGGGTATGGCCAGGGCCTGCAGAGATTCCTGGTATCCTTCCTGCCCCGCCCTGGCCAGTGGTGCCAGGTGCCATCCAAGGCCACTCTCTGGCTGTCTGGCCCAGCCTCTGGGCTTGGACTGGGAGCACAGACTTGGTTGCTTGCATGGTTGTTCTGAACTGCCCCAGGGCTTTAGCACGGCACTTGGGGTTTCTGGGGGTGACATCTCTGCTTTCCACTCCCAGTAGTTTACATTCCTGACTTCTGAATAGAGCACAGCTGAGCCCCCACCCTGCAGCTCCCACGTCCAGATGTTCCTGGGCAGAGAGCCTTATGGCAGAGGCAGCTTCGAGCCATAACAAACCCTCTCCACCCACCTACTACAAGTAGCTGCCAGGGCCTTAGGTCCAAGCTGTAGGTTCTTCCCTCAGCTGAATGAGACCTGGAATCCAGCTAGGGCCTGTGAAGGCAGGTGGGAGGCAGCTGGGTGAGAAAGCCATTTGATGTGTGGTTCTTCTCTGGGCCTGTTCCCTATTCATCAGGCCTTCCCCTCTAGCGAGCTATGACTGGAGGACTCCAGGGTGGAGGAGGAACTCGAATAGTCTCCTAGTAGCCTCTACCCCTGGACAAGTCTATGTCCAGCCTTCACCTCTACATTTCCTGTAGAGGTGAACCTGAGAATGGCTCTGATGTCAACATCAGAAAATCCTGTATATACTTCATGATAAATCAACCTTCAGAAGAGAAACCACCTCAAAACTTCTGTGCCTCCCCAGATGGGATTTATATCTGGGCCTCTGGTTCCTCCTCAACCCAAATAGGTCCAATACCCTAATCATTTCTTTGAATGGTGATGGGGGGTATGAAATAACTATCCTTTTCTCTCTTCTCATACCCCTCTGGCTCAGGCCCCAGATGGACTGCTCCTCCTGAACTTCCTAGGGGCATTTTCTTCTGTCCCTTTCCTGGTCCATGCCTGCAGCCTGAGCCTCTCCCTATCCGTCCCGCCCCCCTACAATTGTCCCTGGCTCTTTCCATCTAGGTGCAGAGGCCCTGAGGGCCACAGCCACCCTCCCTGGGGCCTGTGGGAGTAGGAGCAGCTTCTGACAGGTCTGCTCAGGGGGTTTCTGCATGCGCACTTTTATTTACTGAGAGAGGAGAAGGGAGGTCACAGCTGCATGCCCCGACCTTTCTGTCCACTGCCCCATCACCAGTCGTGCCCACTGAGACCTGCCAGTGTGGGTCAATGCCTTCTTTACTGTACTTCTACTTTGTTCTTGAGGGTAGTGGCCAGGGGTCAAGAGGGGCAAATATCCATTCTGCAGCCTGTCCTGGGCAGGGTGGAGGTAAACAGTAATGTCCTGAGTCATGAGCCCCCACTGACCTCCTCAAACTACACTCTGCAGACAAACTAAGTTCCCATGCCACAGTCTGCCTGTCCATCTGCCTTCAGTATAAGAGCAAGAATGTCATCAGGTGCTCACGTCACATGGCCCCCTGCAGTGTTTTCTTGGGGAACAGCTTTCCCCAACCAGCAGCCTGGGCTGGCTGGGGCTTTAGCCATGTCACCTGTTTCCAGGGACTAGAGTCTCAGTTTCCTCCTCTGATAACTGGCCAAAATGAGCAAGTAGCTCTGGGGCCACCTCAGTGACCTAATGCCATTGGTTCCTATGGGGTCCCCATGCCTTGGTGGCCTGTGGCCCACGGGGAAGGATAGAAAGATTGGGAATATGCAGGGGCTACCTTGCCTGCCTCCTTGAGGAGGTTGGCCTTCCATGTCTTCTGTTATGAAGCGCCTTTCTTGAAGTTTGGCAATAAATCCCTTTTTATGGAACTTCTCTGCTGCAAGCCTGTTTGTTGGTGTAGGGATGGGCTCCCTGGCCTCAAGGAAGCAGAAGGTAGGTGGTGGTTGGTGAGTGGCATCACCAGTCCTTCAAGCTTCATTCTAGGGCTCACCTCCTATAGGCTGGGCCCCATCTTTGCTAAACTCAGCCAGGCCCTCTAATTTTACTCCCTCCCCACCCCCGCCTACATCATTTCTACAGGCTGGGAGCTAAGTGTCATAAGAAACAATGCTTTTCAATTTTTAGAGACGATTTGGAAATGATTTAAAACAGAACGATTGCAAGAATAAAAACAGTACGAAGAACACCCATGCTCTTTCAGACTGACCCACTGGTTTATCTTTTGAGTGCTTTCGGTCTTTAACATGTATAATTTTTTCCCAAATCACTGGGGAGTTCGTTTTCATGACCCCTTATCCCTAAATACTTCAAGGAGCATGTTCTAAGAGTAAGTATATTCTTTCATGTAACCATAAAACAGTGATTAACTTGAGAAAATGTAACACTGGTATACTTATTATTGCTCTTATTCCAGTTTTGTCATTTGACCCAATAATCCTATATTTTTCTTCAGGGTAGGCTTCAATATTACATACAATATTTTCTCTATCTCTAGTTTCCTTTAATCTGAAATGTTTCCACAGCCTTTATCTTTCATGATGTGGATACATTTGAATATAACCCTTCCTCCCCCCTCCCCTGTTTTTTTTAAAGATTTCTATTTTAGAGAAAGGGAAAGAGAGAGAGAGAATCTCAAGCAGACTCCTCCCCTGATGTGGGGCTTGATCCCACGACCCTGAGATCATGACCAGAGTTGAAAGCAAGAGTCAGGCACTCAACTGACTGATTCACCCAAGTGCAACCCCCCCACCCCCGCTTTTTAAAGATCTTATTTATTTATTCATGAGAGACACAGAGAGAGAGGCAGAGACACAGGCAGAGGGAGAAGCAGGCTCCATGCATGGAGCCTGATGCGGGACTCTATCCTGGGACTCCAGGATCAGGCCCTGGGCTGAAGGCGGTGCTAAACCACCGAGCCATAGGGGCTGCCTCCCCCCGCCCCCTTTTTTATGAAGCTAGGAAGCTGCATAGGTAATACTGGGTCCTTAGGGCATTACATCTGGAGACATGACCTTCATCCATCCTTCATTGGTGATATTAATTTTGATCTGGTCAAGGTGTCTGGTTTTTCTGTTGTATACTTATGATTTTTTCTCTTAGAACTAATAAACAATCCGGGAGATATTTTAAGACATCACAAATATGTTTCACCTCATCAAAATGTCCCTATTGATTTAGTATTCATTGAGGATTCTTGCCTGAACTGGTGATAGTTCAAAATGATTCCCTGTTAACTTCAGAGCCTGTCCTGATTAGGGGTGAGCCTGGGCCATGCTCACAGCACCCCAATACATCTCAGCAGGATCCCAGGGCTTCACTGAGTGCTCTTTGGAACCCCCTAGGGCCAGTGTATAGAGCTCTAATTCAAACTGCCAAGGTTCCAGTCCCACCCAGAGACCTTGGTGAATCTTAGCCTTGAGGGCCTCAGTTTACTCACCTATGGAAAGGAGATATACAATGGCCCTACTCCCTGATGTGAAAAAGCACTGATGTGCTCCCCAACACCTGACTCCCTTCCTCCTGTGAGGGCTGCTGGACAGGCCTGGTGGCCAACATAACAGGAAGCACCTGACCCAGGGCCTGTTGACTGTGGAAATGACACTTGAGTCCTGCCTGAATTCCCCTGCCACTGGCCTCTATGTCACAGCCATACTGAGTGAGTGCCCTACAGAGCTGGGGGACCGTAGGTGAATCATTTCACCTTCACTGGTCCTGTATCTCTTGAGAGGGAACCAAGGTAAGGGAGACGGACCCCTTTATTGGTAGGGTGCCCCCCAGCCCTGGCCCGAGAATGAAGGCCCCTATGGAAGGGCAGCTGCGAGGAAGGTTTTAGTGGCCAGCCACAGGGCTGAAGGATACAGTGAGAACTTTCTCTCTGGACCTAGGGGCTGGGGGCCTGTGTAGAGAAGGCCTTTTTATTTTTAAATACTGGTCGCAGTATCTCAGTGGTCTGAAGTGCTGTGGGTAGTTACAGTGCAGAGTTTTGCAAACCACAAGGTACCCACATTCTGACAAGACCCAGGACAGAGGGGGAGGGACTGTTGGGGGTGGGGGTAGTATCTGGATTGCCCCTCTGTCTTCCCCCACCCGAGTCTGGGCCTGGGGAAGCTCTCTGTGTCTTTCTGGAGCCACTGTGTTTTGTCCCACCTCCAAGTCCTATCTTCTTGCCTTCCAACATTTACTCACGTCCCTGACACAAGACATGTCGGAGATATGAGACTTGGCTGTCAGAAAAGGCCACATACACTCAAGTGGAGGTTTCTGTGCTGTTATGAGGAGTCTGTGGAGGAACATGGTAAGGGCAGGGAGAGAGATGATGGTGAATATTCCTCCCTGTTGTCATAGTTTTATTAAAAGAACAAAAATTAAAATAAAAGAACAAAAATCCTAGAGGAAGTAGCAGGGTACAAGTAGAAAAAAAAACATGACTTTAGATTTAGAGGCAGACACATCTAGATTCAAACTCCAGCCATGAATGAGTGACCTTAGGCAAACTGCCTCAGTTTTTCCTGTCTATAAAATGGACAAATCCTCCCTTTTTCACAGGGTTTCTGTGGAACACTTAGCCCATGGCCTGCCTCATCGACAATGTTTAATAAACCCATTGGCCTGGCTTCACAGGGCACATCCTACATCCAATGTAGGGCAGGCCTACATTGACCACCCATTGTCACCACAGGGGCCTCATGAGGAAGATGTATTTATGTTCACTCCATTACAGATTAGTAAACTGAAGCTTAAAACAACTTGCTCAGGAGACCACAAGTTAGTGCCAGACCTGGGATTTGATCCTCACCATGGCCTTCTTTGGGGCTTTTTCTCTGGAGAATCCGACTTCAGCTGGATGCTGAGCCTAGGGAACCTCTGGCTGACTTGGGGCTTGGGACATCCCCACCTTTCCTGGCTCCTGGAAGATACTCCTGGTTGGCCAGGCTCTTCACCAGCCAGCCATGGCCCAAGAGAGAGGCTCAGGAGGCCCTTCCCTTATAAGGACAACAACTCGGCTATGATGAAACTTTTCTTCAGCCTCCCAGTTGGGTGGGCGGAGGAAGGGAAATGACAGGCTCCAACAGCTACAGCTGAGCTTGAGCCGCCTCAGGAACTTGCCCACAGTCTCCCCCTCCCCCTTCCTGTGTTGCTCTGAGGGGCTTTCCAGAGGGTCCTGCTGGCTGGAGTGGGGAGGAAGAGCCAGGGCCTGGGAGGCCTAGCCAGTGACCCAGGGAAGGGAAGATATGCAAACTGGGGCCAGGAGAGAGGACAGGACCCCTGAAGACCCAACAGGAAGCAAGCACACAGTCTTCAGACTGATTGAGGCCATCTTAGGGCCTGGGAGAGGAGGATGGAGGAGGCTCTTGGCCAAATGCCTCTCTCCCTTTGGGCCCCTCAGATCAAGTCAGAAAGGGGAGGGGGCTGGTCTGCTTGCAGCACAGCATAACCCTATTCCCCTCCCCCCATTGCTGTGTCCTTAGGGTACTACCTCCCCAACAAAATCACCAGCCAACTCTCCACCTGAGAAGCTAAGTATGGAATCACAGAATATCAGGACTGACAAGGATCTTTGAGACCATCTAGTTCCTGCCACTGATTTTAGAGAGGAGGAAGTAATAGCTCAGAGGAAGGACTTGAGCTTGCCCATCAGTTGTGTTAAAATATATGTGTGTCTATACAGATATATACAGATCTATGTATATTGTGTATATCATATATATGTGTGTGTATATTTATATATATATATATATATTTAAATTGAGAGGCGGGGCTTTCCCTTGGTTTCCTATTAAAAGTTTCTTTTTAAGAAATCCCAAAATGGGACGTCTGGGTGGCTCAGTGGTTGAGCGTCTGCCTTTGGTTCAGGGTGTGATCCTGGATTCCCAGGATCGAGTCCCACATCGGGCTCCTTGCATGGAGCCTGCTTCTCCTCCCTCTGCCTGTGTCTCTGCCTCTCTTTCTGTGTCTCTCATGAATAAATAAAATCTTTAAAAAAAAAAAAAAAGAAGAAGAAGAAGAAGGGGACGCCTGGGTGGCTCAGCGGTTGAACATCTGCCTTGGGCCCAGGGTGTGATCCTGGAGACCAGGGATCGAGTCCCACATCAGGCTCCCTGCATGGAGCCTGCTTCACCCTCTGCCTGTGTCTCTGCCTCTCTCTCTCTCATAAATAAATAAATAAAATATTTTTAAAAATTAAAAATAAAAAAAAGAAGAAATCCCAAAATGTTAGCTGAATTAAAGGACAAAGGACTTGTTCTACAGATCTTGTTAGCTGTGGGGATTGTGCTTCTCTAGGGACCACATCTGTGGTTGGCAGTAGGGTGAAGCCCTAGGCCAATGGAGAACCAAGGATGGCAGCTGGTGAATCAGTCTCTGATACCACTGCACGCGATTTGTATGACCTGAAGCAGCTGCTCAGCCTCTCTAAATCTCAGTGTCATCTTTCCCAGCAGGGTGATTTTGAGGATAAAATTAGAAAACTTATATAAAGCATCGAGCTCAGGGGTTGGCACATAGTAGGGGCTTACTAAATGGGTAACAATATTGTTTGCAGGGCACCTACTTTATATTAGGTGCTGTGGATCCAAAAAAAAATGGGATCCCTCCCCAGGTTGCTTACTGCCACTCAGGAGAGGCAGACAGACAGACTGACACCACACGCTTCAGTGAGCACGGTGGGATTAGCTGTGTTAGATGGGCAAGTTCTCAGCAGCACAGAGCAGAGCTCAACAGGCTTCTCTGGCTGAGGGAAATCAGACAAGGCCTCATGGAAGAGGCCTAGAAGGAAATGTAATACCAAACAGAGGAATTGGGGAGGGCATTTGAGACAGAGGGAATAGGCTACCGGAGCTAAAGCAAATTCTCTGTGTAGTATCCTGTGGGAGGAGATGCTGAGGGAAGGGTGGAGGCCCAGGAGATGGGGTGGCAGAAAGCAGAAGGTTGTGATGTTCACCCAGAAAGCTTGGACTTTGTCCTAGAGACGAAGGAGAGTCACGGGTGGGTTTTAAAGAGGGGAGAAACAGGCTATAGGGTGGAGATTGGAGGCAGGGAGACCAATTAGGAAGTGGCAATGGACAAGGTGTAGAGTGGGGAGGGCTTGAGCTGGGACAGTGACACTGCGGGTAGAGTGTTGGGGTAGAATTTTTTTAGGATGTAGAATGAGGGGCTTGAGATCTCGTGGGTATGGGAGGGCTGGAGAGAG